ACCTTTTAATACATATCTCTTTCGATTTGGACTACGTACGACTGAGCTTTGTTCTTGCGGGGAGTTGGAGACCCTGAACACTTTATCTTTCACTGTCCATTTACTAAAAACCTTCACTTGAATAAACCTTTAGATCAACACAGGCCAAAATGGGCTGAAATGATATTAAAAAACTCTAGTGAGAGTAAGAAATTTAAGGAAATTATGCTTTTCTGTCAGGAATTAAATTTTTCTGTAAATAATTCTCTCAGATCATCTCTATTGGGAGTGAGTAATTGACTTTCAGCGACTGTTAGATTTTTACTGTATAATGGTAATTGTTTAACTTTGTGTGTTTGATGCTTATTATTGTTCAGTTTTGTTGTTTCCACTACTTATGTTACTGATTTAAAATTAGAAATGGTTTTTACGTAGAACAGACGTATCTGACATTGAATGCATCTATGCTCTTATAAATTGTAACGGTTACTTGTAGCCTATTACTTTCTTATATTGTACAAATAGTCGGTTTTATTTGTGATGCACATAGTATTTGTTGTATGGTACTGAAATCGTTCTTAATCATATATATATCATGATTATTTTGTTCAGTTTTGTATTTGTTAATTAAATTTAACAGAAAATTTTTGTGACAATTTTATTATTTTGCATATTTTTAATGCGTTCTTTTGTAATTGAATTGATTCACTTTGGTGAATTTGATAGGCATTAATTGTGCATTCTATTATAAAAATTTGCATTCATGATAGTTATTTTATATTAATTTTCTTTACTTTAATCTTGAATGCATTTTGTATTTGATTTTGAAATTCTGTAAAATTTTGTGTCGGCATTTTTCTAGTATTGCATTTGTCTTAGCGATGCCAGCAAACCTAATCTAGAATAATTATTTTGTATACCTTTTTGCACTTTTCTGAATTGAATAGTTGACCTGTTTTTGTGAATTTGATTGGTTTTACTTGAGTTCTCTATTGTAAAATGTGCATTTAAGGCAGTATTTTTAATAATAATTTCTTTGATTAACTTATTTTTGAATGTATGTGGTTTTTGGAATTCGGAAATTTTTCATATCTTTATGTTGGCATTATTCTTGTACTGTATTTCTATCGCGTTGCCAGCAAACCTGATGTAGAGTTTTTATATTACTTGGAGTGGTTTTGTTTTTAAACCAAATTTATGTTTTGCATTGTAATAATATCTCAGGTTCAGTGTATTTTATGATAATATTGTTCAGTTATCAAAGTTATTGGTTCTTAATTCTGAATTCATATGAAAAAATTTTATTTGGCAGTTTATTATTGTCTTAGTTTATCTTTATGCATTTTTTTTTTCTAAATTGAATGGTTCTTCTTGAAATTGTGAATCTAATTGATATTAATTGTGTATAATGCAGTAATGGATGTATTATATTTTGTTTGTACCATAGTTTTTATTTAAATTAGTTGGACTCAGTTTTGAAAGTATTTCGTATTTTCAGTACAAATTATGAAAGTATACTCGGTTTATTGTTTGAATGCTATAGGTACTACTTGTAACATGCTTTCTTTAGGGTCTATTATGACTATGTTACTTATGTTCTTGTGTTCTTGAAGGCCTTGTATGCCACTGTAAACTTATTCTGCTTAGTCATAATAAATAGCTTCTGGAGGCAGGGGCTTTAATCCGTGTAAGGCAGACATCATGTCAACTAGGTAATGGAGCCCCTGTTCTCTGGTTAACAGTCAATTTCACCTTTAATCGGACCACATATATTTTTTATTTTTCTTTCAATTTTTAGATTTGTCCATTTCACAATTATGCTTAAAAGTTCGTCAGTAAAAAGTAGTTGCTATACATTTTTGGGATCTGAATTATCAATTTTTCCGTAAGGTCTTAGACCAGGAAGGTCTTACGATATTGTTAGCTGGCCTTCTAACTTTTCGATTTGGTTCAATGGATGACCATTTGAACCGATTTTTAGTTGTTTCTAGATCAAAGAAATCATTCCTGTCTGCGGAAAATTCAGAGTCTGTTGAGTGGGCAACTTTTCGCAGAAATTTTCTTCACAGTCATCTTCTTCACTAAAATCACTTCCAACTTCGTCTTGAATTTTTTTCAGTTCTTCTCCATAACGTGGATCAGAAGGATAAATGAATCTCCGCGGACCTAACTTCAGAGCCATGTGTTCACTACTGCCGAAAATTGTAACACTGGAGAGGGAGGTGAGGTCTCACAGACCGCTCTAGAAGAATTTCAACAGATACACTTGCCAAAGCATTCCAATGAGAAGAGGTCAGAAAGAAGGTCACGAAACGTGAAGCTAGGGGAAGATTCCAAAGCATTTGATAGGACTTGGCATATAGGAATTATTATCAAGCTCATACGACTTGACGTTTCGGCCCATTTAATTCTTATTATAAATTCGTACCTCACTAATAGATCTTTTTCTGTAGATTTCGACACCGTCCTATACTCGTCCCAAGGGTCACTTTTAGGCCCAATTTTGTTCAACATTTTCATAAATGACATACCAAAATCACTAGTATACTCTTGCACTTTTGCAGATGATACGGCATCCTAGCCCAACACAAACGCCTTGAAAACTTGGTCCAAAACATTCAGAGTTATCTCTCTAGCCTTGAGCACTGGCTGGAAAATTAAAATTAATGTTGCTAAATGTGCTGCTATGATCTTCAAACGTAGCCCTTATTCATTAATAAACTTAATGTATTCCCTGGTCAAACTCTTAAAGTACCTAGGAGTTGTACTTGATTCAAAATTACTCTGGCGCCTTCACATTGTGTTCTCAAAAAGCAAAAGGTGTAGAGCCCTCTTTAGATCATCTGGTCAATTAAAACCAAATCCTCTCTATTATCAATTATGAGACCTGTCTTCATGTATGCATGTACAATCTGGGGTACTGCTGCAAAACTCATGTAAAAAACTTCAATCTTTTCAAGTAAGACTTACGTATGGCCCTGAATGCAGCCTGGTACGTCCGTACAGAGTGATTCATTCGGACCTAAATATAAACCTGTAGATTACCATATTAAAAGCTTAGTCGAAATTTATTCCTCAAAATTGAACAGATTGATACCGAGCACTTCAGCAGATTCCAGCATACGATCCTGCTATTCGCAGCTCACGAAGAGACCGAGAGCCGTGATGGCCGAGAGTTCGGCATCTATCCGCCATCTAAAAGGCAGACACGCCCTTTCAACTTCAACTACTAAGTCTAAGTCTCACTTCAGTTCCAGCCCCCGCTCCATGAAGGAAGGACGTCTCTTCATCGAGCTGCCATATAATTGCTTATTTCATCTTTTACAACTGCAATCAAGATCTTCAAGCAAAGTTATCAATCGTTTACTTAAGAATCACATCTCCGCAGATTTTAAATTGCCTAAATATTTTCATCGTGATCAGTAGTAATTATTTGCGCTCTCCAACACAGCCACATGCCAATGAGCCTATAATCGTAAACTCTTTTCCTATCCGCTTTTTGCTTTAGTGTTGTACTGTGTATAAAAAATTATAAAAACCAAAAAAGTATAAAATAAAAATACAAAAATTATAAAAACCTAAAAAACTTATAAAAAATTATGATACTAAGTTTTATATTCTCATCTCTATCCCTAAACTTTCTCGAGCCTGTGGCTCCCTCTATTGAGCATCAAGTAAATCACTTATGCCAAATTTTTCCAATTTCTGCTCACTTTTAGTAATTCTGATGTGGAGGTAAATGGTTTTGAACCATAGGCACTCCGAAATTTGCAAATCATTGGCATTGGCATTGGGAAGAATCCATTCAATTGGGCAAAGCATGTAATAGGGGTGATGGGAGGAACATGTGGCGCGGTCCTTCAGACCGCACGTCCCCTATTACGGGTTAAATGCTGAAAATCTATCGATGATGTTTTAAGTGTCATCGATAGATTTTTTTTTAAAATTTTGTATTTATTTTTCTTTTATTATGGTATCGCACACAATGATACATGCCAAAGGGAGGGATATTCCCATGGAGGGTCTTTTAAGCCTTTATTTGGCACGGTTACTCAGAAGCTATATGTTTTTATTGGTTCTTATAAGAGATCTACAATTTCCAATGATTGTTATTTGGCATTGTTGCTGTCATTCAACAGCAAGTTATAAAAAATCCAACCAGACAGATGTATATTATACGTATTCTACTTACTTAGTATGTGCATCCCAAAACATCTTTACTAGAATTTTTCGAGATTTGTCAATTAAAGTGTTCATAAAAATTGACTCATATCCATGTTACACATGGGGAAAAACCATAAAAGTGTCCGTGCAGCCTTTCGTCGGGATTTCAGCTCCGGACACAATCACCAGTGTTCAGCTATTTACGGATGACCGCTGGAGAGTCAGCGATGCGTTATTGAATAGTTTTGTGTGTAGCTTTTCGCCTTAATCATGTAAGTAAATTTTCTCCTTCCTTCCGGCATTCCTTCGTGGTGTTACAGTACCACACTCCGCACGTATTCGAGAGGTGCAGGGCTCGATTCTAGGCGAGGGCATTTCGCATTTTTCATGTTTCCTGTTTAAAAAAATACTTAATGACTCTACAGTTATAACTCGTTAAGTATGGCTAAATAAGCCGCTTAGTTCAAATCCCCTTATGTCTAAAACTAATCAATAATTCAGAGCTATAACGTGCTTACGTCTTAGGAATAGCTTTGCATGAAAGACCGCTATGTAGGCAGAATTTTCAGAGTAATTAAACAGCTGCGTTATAATGCTGTTTACCATTCGTAAGGAATAATTCATCCTGAAAGTAAATTTTGATACACCCTTCTTAACAGTAATGGCTGCTGTTGAAATTTCCTTTGGTTGAGGTAGTTATTTTTTACATTATTAATTTGTTCTATAGCCATTTGTTTTATTTTATATTAGCAATGTGTGTACCTTTCAAAGGAATAAATGCTGGTTTTTTATACTTGTTATATTTTTATATGCTGTGAAATCATTAATTGTCATCATTGCCCCATTTTCTTTTCCAGAAACTGCGTAGTGAAGTGTATCTACGGCTATGGCCTTAATATGGGAAACAAGGTGACTCGTAAGACTTCGGTCAACTGTAGGCTAACCGAAGATAAGTGGAAACCGAGAGACTTTGAAGATTGCAAACGTATGTCAGCCAATGATTTATTAAACCATGTTTATATTTATCATTAATTTGATTAAATTACTGTTTAATTCTTGACTGATAATTATAATTCTCCTTTTTCTTTTTTCCTCTCTTTTCTCCGAAAACGACAACGAAAAAACTGTGTTTGAATATTTTAATACTACAAGATATATGCTGTACAAGCAACTGCTTTTGTAACGAATATTTGTTATTTAAGGTAGCTGTTATTTAGTAGAATTCCAAATTCCATGTTTAGCAAAATTTTTATCAGATTTCTATTAATATATTGCTCAGTAGGTTAGGTCAATGGTCTCAGATTCAAAATGCATGCGGGCAGAATGCAAGATCTGAAAGCAGCTGGCGGGCCGAATTTTTTTTTAAACTATAAAGGGAAAAATTTTTCTTAACAAAAAAAAAAAAAAAAAGTTTAAATAAAATTAAATTTTTATTAAAACATACATAAGCCGTAAAAATAACGATGCAAAGGAAAAAATTCCGATTTTTTAGTTTCTGTCTGAAATCAAAGGCTGGTATTTGGTTATGCTTTGTAAGTCAAGCGTATTGAGAGCTAAATATCAAATTTTCAGATTGATATTTTTTCAAATAATTGTGATGTGTTGAATAATCCACTAAACAACGTACTTTTATCTTAAACAAAAAATAAACTGCAAAAATTTTCCGGAAAATTTGAATTATTTATTAAATTTTTCTTTCAAGCATCTAACCCCTCCCCTCAAAGAAATATATATTTGTATATAAATAATTATAAACAATATTTTTTACTACAACACCTCGTGGCGTTTCGGTTTTAATAAGATTTTTAACCTTGGAGGAAAATTACTAGAAACTCTCTTCAGCACGAATTGTAGATTCTCATCAGTCTATCTGGTTGTTATTAATTTTTAACAGCAGAAAATAACTGTTCACATATAAATACCCTTCTCAAGAAAGCGATAATTACTCAATATAATTAACTCAGGTCACTTATCTTTTATCAAATATGAAAGAATATCAATCAAATCTTCACCTTCGAATCTTTGAATAAGACTTTAATAATAGTGTAAATTAATTAACCCTATTTTTAGATTTTCTGTGGTGTTATTCACGTTCGTTGTTGTTGTTACTTATGCTTAGTTGTCTGACATTAACACCAGCCCACGAAATTCCTCGTGGTAAGAAGAAGCGCAAGATACGCCTGCCGTTGGCTATAGCCTTGAACACTTTAAAGGCGGCAGTGCGATTTAGCTCAGTTCTGCCGCCAATTTTGATGGAGAGCATCTCGGGGGTACGGGTTCGAGGGTCTCCCATCCCTTTTCCCTTCCACCAAATTACAAGAGAGAACTTTTAATTAACAATTCTCGGGAAAGCTATCGACACACTCATGGTATCGTAGGACAGGTCCTGGTACTGTTATTGGTTTCCTGAGTGACAGGAAGGACCAAACGGGTCTGACTCGGTTGATTTCAGGACATTTAAGGACCCTCAATTGTTCCTATGGTACTAAAAGTTTTCCAACTTGTGACAAATGTAAAAACCATGAAGCTACTGACCACTATCTATTTGGTTGTGTTGCCTTGGTATGTGAAGATCTGCTGAAGAGACCTAATTGCGCATTGGAAGTTGTGAAAGCGAATGAACTTACGGATCTGATCTGATTCATATCAGAGAGATTAGTAAGAAGAAGAAGACATTTCATTATACATCATTCAGGGTATAAGGGGTTAGCACGTGTAACTAGCGACTAGAAAATCCATGGTTCAAATTTCGGCGCTGGATAGTTGATTTTTCATTTTCCCGCGTTGAGAGCGAGAAAAACTAATAATAAAAAAATAGTAAATTTTCACTACCCGGATTTGTTCGACTGGTTCTCGTGCTTCTTCCCAGTTGCTCTGTAAATGAGGAGGAATGCAATCAATTATCACGTTCTTCGATGCCTGCTGTCATGGTGTAAGTGGTTATCACGCCAAATTAGTAAAGTGATATATCTATGGTTTCATTCTTGGCGAAGATGTAGCTAATTTTTCTTATTTATTGTTTCGAAAAACGTAATTCCCTCTATAGCCTGAAGATACAAATGATAGGTCATCGATAGGAACCGTCGTAATAGGCAGACTGTAAGTCCCAGTTTCTGTGAAGGGAAACGAAACACAGCCTACACGTACTACATCTTCCAAAAATTCTGTGCACAGCTAATTGTTCAAAGTGCGCTAATCTGTTTCCTCCCACTATATGAAACGTCTTACCCTGTATCAAGAGCGTCTGTTGCCTGAGTTACGAAGCATTTACTGAAAGATTTATGGTGAGCAGTACGAAGCGGAGAGTTCAAACCAGGAGGTGCAATGCTCAGAAAAACCGAAGGCTGATTTGGGATGAACCTGCACGCGGATTCGCAAAGAGGTGATCTTTTAGTGATTTTCCGGCAATAATTACCTTTAATTTTAGGATTTTTAGTCATTGTATTTTTCTTGGTATTCCAGCTATTTTACTGTGTTTATAATGGTTAGTGTCTATATGCTCTCAACATTTTCCACTCTTATGTACAAATTTAATGATTGTTTCGCATGGTCTTAATTTTAGAAATAAATTGATTTCTACCATATATAAGCTTTATAGTTTAATATGTACTCTCAATTTTAACTTATTTCTTATATTTCCTGTTCAGAATAACAAGTTTGTTTTCCGTAATTACATAATTAATTTTTATTCTTTATTTCATTTTGCACCGAATTTTACATACTTTTTAATTAAAGTACTCATAATTTTAACTCATTTCTTATTTTTTCTCATCATATATATGACTTTATTTTATTTTAGATGCTTAAGTTTTATCTACATGACGCTTTGAAATACATCCAACTCGGTATACAATACATCCTGTTTGGATGCGAAAATTTTTGTTTGCTATACGGCATTTATTTGGAATATGTCTCGAATTCGATGAGTCACGACTGTGCGTAGTACACTTGTTCACCTCTTTTGTGACAATGCTACCAATGTCCGTACACCTGTTGCTACTATTCAGTAAATAACCTATGTTGTAATTGTAAATTTTTAAGTGGTTTTTGTGTTTTCTTGCATAAATTGTTTTTTAAATTTATTAACGATGAGTTTTATTAAAGTTAATGAGAAGATTCAAACAGCGAAGAAAATTATTGGTGTTATATGAGGGTGAAAAAAGAGATTCTTGAAAAGTATGAATATAACATGTATCCGGTACTTGGCTATTGCATACAATATGTCAAATAACGATAGTGTCTGCGATTATGAAAACAAAAAGACGCTATTAAATCAGCCAATGTTGCAAAGGGTTTGAAATGGATTCCCAAAGAAAGATCGGAGACGTCAGAGCATGTTGAAAAATTTCTTTTTTGATCGGATATCACAGAAACCTCTATGTAGTACAGCATCATGATGTGCAGTGGTTAACTGAAGTGCAGTTGTATTTTAGTATTAGTAACTTGTGTTATAATAATAGCAATAAAATTTTTAATAAGGCGGTCTAATTATTTTCCCTTTGTTTCCCGCTAAGAAAGTTTATTTGGTGTACATCCAAAGATTTGGGATGAATTAATGACGTATATCGCTGTACCACTATACTTGCAAAACTTCAGTTTCTCGCTTATAGCAGAACTTTAAACCAAAATTCACGATCATAATTGTTGGTACAAATAACCCTCAACTATTCGTTGCGAAATGTGCCTTTGGGTTCGAAAACAAAATGTACTTCAATTGCGAAAGGGATCATATATACATAAAATGCCAATTTGTCTACAACTCAGAAAATAAAACAAGCAATACATAGATACAAAGTTGCCTAAAGAAAACCATGCGTGACCGTTGGCAAAGATTGCCTTTCATTTCTTTTCTATTGCAACACAAAACTAAGGATGTACTACAGTGGATACTTGTGTCTATAATCCAGTGAAGAAAACTCACTTTTCAAGTCTTAGAGTTATCAAGCATGTTCACTTAAAGGACAAGGAAGCTTACACAGGTTTTTAAAATTCAGTGTTATTAAATGATATTAGTGTATTTATGTTAATGTATATAAAATTTCAAAGCTAACTTGCAGTTGAATCTTTGTGAATTGAACATCTTCTTGGAACTTGCATCTTTAGTTGTTAGATTGTAATTTATCACTTATAATCTTATTTCCAGACATTAGCAGAAGTGCCATAATCATAAAATATGTGTTAAAACAATCTACGTAAATACGAGCAATCCAGTTAGTTTTTTGGGCTCTATGCTAAAAAAATTATATATATATATACATAATTTTTAATAAATTTTTAAGCTTTTTTAAAGCTGTTTATAATTTTATGGTTGTTATTAATTTGATCAATTTAGTGAGATTATTCTAAGTATTAAACTTAAGTTTGTGTCTCTGTTGGTTCAGAAACAAGCTGATGTATTTTCTTCTTTCATTACACCAACCACCTGATGATGATACAACGAAAAGATGTGAATTTCTGTTTTCCTTCTCATTTTTGATTTTGGCATTTGTTGCGCTTTAGGTTCCCACTGTGTTTCTGATTTCTTGTTTTTTGCATATGCTTTGTTCCGAAATGAGTGTGAGAGGGATTTTAAATGTATTTGGAATATATTTTGATTTTGCATTTTTACCACCACTTGTCGTTCCTTTCCGTAAAGTGCAGCTGGATTAAGTTTTGAACTGCTTTTTATTTTGTGTATATTCATTTATATATATAGAGAGAGAATTATGTAAATAGGAGTTACAAAACAATATCTTGTGCAGTTGCTGCTGTGACTGCATATTTCAGATGATGCAAAGATTCAAGTTTTTGCTTTTTAAAATTTTAAAAAGTTACATTTTGATTAAACACGAAATCTAACTTTCAACACGTTCTTCCGGTTTATATATTTATATTAAGAAAAATTTTGTTATGGTTATAAAAAATAAAATACGAAATATATGTCTCCCGTACGACAAAACCTCACCGAGATATTTGATATAGAAATAGGACATGAGTAAAGAAATATCTGCATGTGTACGTAACCTAAAAATGAAAGATCCATTTAGAAAAAGGTTTCTAATGTTAAGATATTGCGTGATGAATATTTATATGTAAATTATTGTTAAAAATATTTAATTTTTTTTCAAATTCTAGATTTTATTCACAGAATATGCACTAGAATTTCTGTACTAGAAAACACTGGCAGACTTCCAGGCATCTTTATCTCATATTAAATTACGGTCTTAATTAACATGGGGTCTCATGTAAGCACTTTTTATTAATAGCCTACATCAACTGCAAGGCTCATTTGATCTCTCCTGGAGACCTGAACTGCGTAGAACCGCTCAAGGAGCCACCTTACTGCGACATTTCTTGCCTGGAGTATGATCAGTATGATGCTATAGAAACTAAAAGATACGTCTGCAACGGAACTACTTTCCCAAATTTACCCCACTGCGCTATGGTCAATGAAGGAGGTAAGATTCCTTATTTGGAGAATTCTAGTCCTCTCGAATAAAAAACTAAATGACTCATTGTTCATTGCTAGCTAGACTATGGAGGTAGTATTCTTACCTCCATGAGCTAGACGAAGGGGTCTCCAAACGTTTTAGGCTACGGGCTGTAGTGGTTCTTTCAGGAAGCTTCGAGCGCCAAGGCTTAGTTCATCATCAGAGCTTAAACTGCTAACCCTAACTTACTTAAACACTAACTTCGAAACTCCTCAGTTTTTGAAATAAATTTTACTTTTAGCCTGAACGCACTGAACCCCTAAGTAGCAGGGCTCCGGAATTTCTTTCGTAATCTCCGGGGTAACTGAACCACAATTTCAACGAAAAAATCCTTTTGATTGCGAGAACTTTATTTTAATGATAAAATTAAATTCAAAATCGATTCTAACTTCTGAACGCATGCCTATGCTTCCCTGGAAAACAAATTCTTTGATGGAGATCGAGACTTTTAAGAAGAAAAATTCTCCCACCTGCATGTGAAAGGCCTATTATCCAGAAAGTGCAAGGAATCTATGACAGCCGGTCACTTTTATCTGTAGAGAATTGTGGCCAAAAATATTCGATACTTCTCTCCTTGTTTTAATGCCAATACATCTCCTTTAAAATCCTCTTCAATACTACCATACTATTTCTAGCATCCTCTTAATTCTCATTAGTGACACTTCAATCATTTTACCTTTTTCATTGGCATGCTGGAAAAAGAATCGTCTTTAATTTCATTATCCCTTGAACAAATATATTACACTATATTTACAGTTGCTTAAATTCAACCGGAGCCCGGCTGAACTATTTCTTAGATTTTGAATAAAATTTTAATTTCAGCCGGAGTCCCAAATGAGATGAGGTGCAGTATTTTATTTTATTATTTAACTCTTTAATATTAATTTCATAATTTATAAAATTTGTAACATCGCGTTATATTTAATTGAACTTTAATTACTTTATTGGTTATTTTATTTATTTACTATCGTTTCTCTTTCCCAACAACTTTCCATGGGGCTCTGGCATTTCTAATTTAAAAAATTAAGCGTATTTTGTTTACATTTCGAAATCAGATGCAAACTTTTGCTCATATGCATTTCATATTTTGGGCAAGTTTCATGTCAAAAAAAAATTTCAAAATTAATATAACTTACAATATATGGGGGACAAAAATTACGATTTAAAAATAAAATCGTTGCTGAAAATAGTATCTATGAACAAATCTAAAAAACTATTATGAAAGTATGTAATGATAACACAGGAAACCTTTATTTTGGTAAAAATTACAATTGCAAATTTTTTGAAGGAGTGTTACTGTATTTCACTCATTGTTAAGTTAAGAAATGGTTGCTTAATATTTATAATACGTTTTATAAAGAATATGCCTGACAGACAATGCATTTATAGATTGGTTGTTATATAAAATAGTTAATTTGTATGTTATCTTGCTTATTTTAAATTTTATGAAATTATTTAAAAAACTGTTTGGCAGGCCAGATTGATAGTGCTCGCGAGCCGTACTTTGCAGACCTCTGAATTCGACTTCCCCTTATGTTAAGTAAATGAGCAGATGAGGCTACCGGGATTCCGGAAAGTTTCCTGAAGAAACAGTGACCAAAACTCCACCTTGTTACATGATATGACTTGCTTATATGTAACCCCCTAAAAAAAAGTAAAAAGGAAAAAAAATCTGAAAGTGTTCAGAATTTACTGGTCGGCCAAAAGGCCTCTGAATGTTTAATATGATTTATCAACAGAAATTATCAATTCAATAGAGATGACGCTGGTGAAATAGCGATTATTTTATAAAATATGCATTTAAACATTTTATAGAATATGCTTCTAATATTTATTAGATGAATACGCATTTAAACTAATATGGAAACATTATATAGGTTGGCCATAAAACACTCTCCGACATATGAATCCCTAGCGGCCTATCCGCTCAAACACTCGAAATGAAATTTCAAGTACTATTATTTGAATGTATGCGCTCGAGATTGTGATGATTTAAAACAATAAAGCTCTCACAGTTACAATAAAAAAATTTCGAAATTTTCGAATGGCAACACCCACTTTTTTTCCTGCGAAAAATTGATCAACGCACTGTATAACCATAAATGGCTTTCGAACGATACACGTATGACGAAAATCGGAGGCGTAAAATTTGCGACTCCAACTTCCCTACGTAGTTGATGCAGCTTGTATATTGTGTACATATGCTTTTCATGTTATTTTTCTTGCATATTTGTTTCAATCGTACTGAGTATTTTGTAATTGTATTTTCATTTTTAAGTTTATCTGTTCACCACTCAAACTGTCATGATGTGCTTCACACCAACACTTGCCTCTCCTGGTCTGCAGCTTTAGCTTGGATTTGCTTGTCCTGACTTGTGACAGTTGGTCACCTCCTTCTTTTAACATGTTAGACCTCTCCTTCATCGGTTTGAACACTTTCATGTCAGGCGCCCTTCGGGCATATTTGTCAGGAGCCCGAAACATAGCGTGTTCTCAGCGATAATCCAGCAATTTCAATATGGACTGGACTAGCTTTCAGTTTAGTTCAGAGTTTAGCTCAGAGCACTGAGCGTTTAAGAGATCACAAGTGCGAGGTTATGCATTTGAAGCTTTTTGTATTGCTTTGTGGTCAACGTTCTTAGTAGTCTAAAGTAGTAACTGTTAATTGTGCTCTGTCATATTTAGAAGAGCATACGGAAGAGGTACCTTTGTGTGAAGAGTTCCAGAATTGTATAGTGTTCATGGAAAAATAAATTTCATCAAGCTATCATCGGTCTGGTGCACATTCAGTCCATACCAAGTCCGTGAGTATGTAACAATGCTCTTATTCGTAAATGTCCATTCGTAACTCTTCATATGATTACCGCTGTGAGGACAGAAGGAGTTGAAATCAGAGTTAAAGAAAAGTCGAAAAATAAGTGAATTTTTTACTTTATGTAAAATCTTACGGAATGAGATCTGCACATTCTTAAAATTAATCACGCTTGGCTTGTCTAGTTTTTCGACATCATTAGTTTTTTGTATTATAATATATTAAAAGTACGCGTTAGAGGTAATTCTTTCTTCTTGACTAGACCATTTAATTTGTCAAAACACTTTTTGCAGGTATCTGGAAAGTAAAAGATTGTCAACTATCTCGAGTTGAAATTGAATTTAAGTTCTACTCTCTAAAAATATAAATTTTTGCTAAATAATTTAACATCTTACTTAAAAATATTGATTTAAACTGCTTTCTGCTTTGTCAATAAAAGCTTTATAAAAATGTTATGGATTTTGGTTGAGCTGGATTTACTCACACTAAACTGCAAACAGCTGTTCGTCGAGTCAAGAAATTGCGAAAGCCTACTTTAATTGAACTAATTAATCTTAACATAAATATTAAGGTAACTAATTACAAGCAACAGAAATCTGTGTAATGGGAATAAATCTCCAGGCTTGTGATTTCAAAACTTAAATGGAATCTTCTTCAGTTGCGGAGGTAAAATAGCGAATGAGAAATACGAGTATTCGAGAGAACAATAGAAAAGAATTCGAGCACGTTCTCTAGCTAAATAACAGAGGATCAAGCTTTAATGCTATCTGCTGATCCAAAAATGAAAGGAAAGCAAAACGAATTTTTAAATCTTAACAAATCTCTTTTTATGTAATTTTTAATCCGCCTATATATTGATTTAATTAGCATCTGTGTGTTTCCTGTTAAACTCATTTGGTTTCTATCCCCCCTTTAAACTTGTTCAATTTGTACTTGCGTCACTACATTTATACTACTTTAATTAGTGTCCGTAATTCCAACTTTTAAACTTTGTTTCTATGTCTCTTCTTTCACTCAAATTGTTTCTATGTCTCTTCTTCCACACTCATTTAGCTTGCATATTATTTCTTCTCTAAAACTCATTCAATCTGCATATTTCTCAATAATAGAATTCATAAAACGAAAGAATTCAGATTTTAATATCGCGCATCAGGGATAAGGTGTTTTATGCTGTCACTGAGCTCACAGTTTACCATTCTGTTCTTGGACTGACTGTTGTTGACACAACTTTTAAATTTATCATTAAATATCGCTTTTTTTCTAATCAACACTATATACAGTAAAACCACACAATTTTTAAAAGCAACATATCTTTAGAATTTTCGATAGAGTGTTAAGTGTTGTTTATAAATTTCTTTATTAATCGTTGTATTGTTTTCTTAAAAATAAGCAATGGTGATAACATTTGGAGGCCACGTCCTTTTACTTGTGTTCCCGTGCCCTTTTTTATATTTTATATATTATTTATTAAAAATAATACGTGGCAACAACATTGAGAGATATCATCCTTCTATTTTACGACGGACGCAAAGGTGATACGACGGACGCAAAAGTGATATTCACAGGAAAAAAAAAAAAGTAAATGAAATTAATAGCACCTCTGTTACTTAAAAAAAATATTAAAGTGCAGCTTGAAATTTCAGGTGGTTAATAAATTTGTCAATATCAATGAGCTAGTTAGCAATTAATGTGTGCTTTTCACTGATCATTGATCTTATTTTTACAGTTCTTTCTAATTTATGATAAATAATTTGACATTAATTTCTACTATACATCTTTTTTATATGTATATATTTCTTTTCTTTTTCAGCTGACTTAATTCCAAAGCCATCAGACTAAAATATTCTGCTAACACTAGACACAAAAAGGAATTTTCTCAGTACCTAATCATGAACTAATTGTATCTTCTTTTATATAAACTGTAGTTATTCATTGATCTGCGTTTTATTTTTTTCTTGAAGTTGCTCATCATGCACAAATTAAAAACAGCATACGTCTTACAAAGTTTCAGTTATTTAAATTGTGTTGAATAAAGTAAACAAACTGTCGCTTTTCATTAAATGTTTTTGCTATTCTAAGAATGCACGCCCAGAGCTTTAAACTATAACTGTATCTATAGCAGAGATTTTCTGATAATATTGTCAAAAATTATAATCTCAGTCGATCATTTTTTAGAAAGTAGTTTCGAGTCTGGAGTAGATTTTTAAGTATTATTTGGTATTAAAATATCCTAAATTAATTTATTAGCTATTTTACTTCCAATTCTTACTTTCTTGTATGAAGTAAAGAAATATTGTTAACGCGTAAAATTTCGGTTATCATATTTTAACAGAACTATCCATTTTGACCACTCCTGAATCCATTTGATTATTTTTCGCCTGACGTCTGTACGTACAGGCAAAATAAAAGAATATTTATTTCAAAACGAATTGTAAAATGAATTTAAAAAGGGATTTATCGTGACTTCTATACATACGTATGTATCTCTCATAACTCAAAAACGATTAGCCATAGAAAGTGGAAATTTTGTAAATGGAGCTGCTATAACATCTAGCTGTGCATATCCCTTTTTTATTGTAATCGGCAGAACCAAACTTATTCAATCTGATTATCGCAATAGAGTTACAGTTTCTTTGATGGAATGATGAATTCATTGAAGTATGTAGAAATTTTAAAACGTAGGATTCTGTCATTTGTCATTGATTTCTTTGTAGGAATTTGCCTTGCACGACTTAACAACATGACTTGCCTTCATGCCACAGTTCGAAACCCGTGAGAAGGTTTATGTTGGAAAATAAAATTTGTGTGCTAGATTGTCCTGCAAATTCACCAGACTTAAATCTGATCGAAAACTTGTGGCACATTCTCAAGCAAAATGGATTGTACGACGAGCGCATGATTAAGAACGCTATAAAAGGGTTGCTCCATTGGGGGGGGGAAAGGACATATGTATGCAGAACACTACTAGAGCTAACACCTAAGCGGATTGTACAGGTCATTTCTGCTAAAGGAGGACATAGTTTCTATTTTCATTATTATAATTACATATAAAGGTATGTAGTATATAAATTATTAAAAAAATCCCCTTGGCTTAAATAATTAGCACACTATAATGATATATGTATTAAAAGTTGTATATACATCTTACATAATTATGCATATGTAAGCTAATAAAATATGGAAAGCAAACTTCTAATTTTAATAGTCTGCTTTTAATCTTCATTTTAATTTAAACATTTCCCCCTTTTTATCCTAAAACTAGTAGCTGTTTATAATATATCAATCTAAAATGCCCCATTTCAAAATTGATCCGTTTCATGCCATCTTACTTAATGTAGCAATGTAGATATCTTTTCTCCAATCAAATTAAATCAATCGGAACCGAAACCTTTTGGCTCTATATCTTAAGCTTCTTCTGAAGGCGTAGTCCCGCTTTGCTTCGCTCTGGCTAACACGCGTGGCTTCTCTCTTCTCTGTATCGTCCATTGTCTGAGGTGTTCTTCAGGTAGGAGACTGGATTTGGATTGTAGATGTGATGCGTACTATAGGATCAGCTATTACGGTTTTCGCTAGTTTATTTGCGAGCTCATTTCCTTCCTTTCCAATGTGAGCTTTGGACTCATCTCAGTTTAATCTTTCCTTTGCAGTGTGCAACGAGATGGCTGATGTCATACACAAGTCTCTTTTTGCTTTTGGTATCTGTTATAGCCAAAATACTACAGAAGCTATCTGAATTGATTATGGTTTGTGTTCGATGTGCTAGTGCATATTTAGCTGCTGCTTGTTTAATGTCTGTCTGAAATACTGAGTTAATAGTCCATAATTTAGCATTCAATTCTATATCATCTGATTATTTTGAGTAACACAGAATGTACAGGCTGTGCCTGTTTCCATTTTGGAACCATCTATGCGGGTATTTCTTAAATATGACGCTTCTGTGTTTGTGGTGTAGATTTCTGCAAATCGTTCTGCTGGATGGATGCTGTGTATATTGACTTCAATCTCAGAGTTGATATAGTGATTCTGAGAGAGAATTACATCTTGTCGTACTCTTAGTATTTCAGTATTGATCACATTTTGAGTTTTCTGCAGGTCAGGAAATTTCAACCAGATTGAACAATGTCAGTGTTGGAGAGTTTCATAACCTTTAGTTAGCAGTAGTGCCGATCTTCTTTGAATTTTCAGAAGCTTCTTTTTTCATTGTGTTATTTATATTAAGGTCCCAGGTTTATGCTTCGTAACAAATTATAGGTTCATTTCTTATTTCATACCTTTCTTATTCATTCTTTAGGAGAAAGGGGCTAATGATCAGGCCATATCAAAATGGCGGCAATATAATTGGAAGAAAACGGATGACGATTGAGTGACCTATAAATATTTTCCGAAGGTCTCCAGAAATGTAGTTGAATTTTAGTTATGTCACACAGCTCTACACAGGTTATTGTCCCAACCCTGCATATCTACATAGATTTGGGAAAAGAGAAACGGACATGTGCTACTGTGGTAGCAAGGACGACCTTAGCCACTATCTACACGACTATCGAATGACGGCAAGGCTAAATTTGATAAAATCATCGACATGTAATGAACTAAAATTGTGTCCTGACAATCACGGGCTCTAAATAGAGCGAGACAGATAACTAAATATATAACTGATAACTCTGATGAGTTGTAGCGCCTATCAAGATGGTAAACATTAAATATTTTAAAGACTGTAAACGTCAATTCTATAGTAACTATAAAACATTTTAATAACTGTAACAGCTAATAACACAATGCAGAATTCTGTTCAAAATTCAAATGACTCAGCTCCAAATTCTGTCTTCCGGAACTGAAACTGTTAAAACATCATTGTAAATATCTGTAAAATCCATTTTTAACATTTGAAAATTCTAGTGTTTGTAGGTTCCAGTTCCATATAATGTATGCGGAACTGCATTAGTAAACTATTACTGTAATTCTCCAAATACCAGTACACCGCGAAGATGACATCCATTGATGACCTCGACATTGAAAATTTTTTGTCCTTAGCATTCCAGTTGGTTGATTTAGTATTACACTATGGTTACATTCCTGTTTTTTTATGTGAAACTTATGTGTAATATTAATATATTTACAACAGTGGAATGAACAATTACAAATTTTGAATATTTATATATTGTTACGTTATTTTCTTCCTTCACTTTCGTACGGGGTTCGTGTGGATTTGGAGTGAATAACGACGGCACTACTTGATGAAATATCCAAACACACTTTATTTAGCCAATATTAATTAGGACAGCTCCAAAGTCACTTTTTTTACAGTCGTCGAAGATCTAATAAACACGCTGACACAATCAGCACAGCTTTCAGGTTATCAAGCTATCATGGTGGAGACAGCTTCACTGCAAGCACCAGAGTACAGCTCCCGACTCTGCTCGGTCGTTCTCGGAACTCCACGTACTCTGAGACTTTCCACGCTACAACTCACTATGCACTCGACGACACACAGAGCACAGCTTCCGACTCTTCGGTTCAGTCGTTCCCGGAGCTCAACACGCTCTCTCGACGATGCACTAACCGCGATACACTACGAGACTCTTTCGGTGCATTAGACGACCCACTCGGCACTCGCTGCCCGGCTGTCAACTCGATCGACTCCGCAAGGATTGACTCGCTAGACGAGAGACCAACTCGATACTAACTATCTCGCACTTTACGAGGCACTCTCACTCGCCCTCTCGACGAGGCACACACATACACTGCGGACCAGCAGGGTTTATTTAGCATTCGGCTTGTGTTCGAGAACATTCTGGGCTAAACCGGTAAGAAATCGTTCCAGAAGGTTCTCCATCCGTCCATGGCATATCGCCAATTTTGTAGCCAAATATAGCCAAATGTGGCAATCTAGCGTTCCCCTGCCATTTTATGGCTACCCTAAAACTGCTTTGAGGGGAAGCCATCTTACCGTGTCTTTACATTTCGTAACAATATGACAAAGAATTGCACCAAGTATATACATATATTCATTCATATGACTCAGGTGATTCCAGTCAAAAGGCATATACTACAGATACGTATAAAGATGGTAATGTGACAATGAGTTTGTTATTACATACATTATATCAATATATTTACAATAGAAGATTGAATACTTGTATTGTGAAATTTATTATCTACAGATATATAGAGATTATATATAGATAAAAAAAGAATTACATCAAGTATATAGCTGCACATACGTATGACAAGAGTGACTGTAGTCAAAGGGAATAAACAGTGTTTTATACTACAGATATATCTATAAATGGGGTAATGCAACCCTAATTTTGGTATTACATTCATTATAATAATATTTTCACAACAGTAAGAAGGCACACTCATATTGAACAAACTGAATATCTATATAAAACTGAGAATGACATAAATTATATATACATGCATATGACACATGCATATGATAGGATGCATTTGATATGAGAATGGTGATTGCACTCAAAGGGGATAAACAGTGTTTTACAATATGGTTACACACAGGTCCGTTTGCTTGTAGGTATATATATATGGGAAAACGCGGCAGTGATTTTGATATTACGCACATAATATTAAAATATTTCCAATAGTGGGAATACACACTCACATTGAACTAATTGAATAGCTATATAAAAACAAAGAATGACATGAACTAGATTCATGTACTTGCATATAATAGGATACATATGATATGATGAGATTGATTGCAGTCAAAGAGGTAAACAATGTACACTGCAGATACATATAAATGGAGTAATGCGACATTAATTTTGGTATTACATATCATATTAATACATTTCTTATAGTGGAAATGAGCATTCATATTGAAATAAGTGACTAGCTATATAAAACAGAGAATGATATGAACTACATATATACATCCATATGATGGGACGCATTTGATATGATAAGAGTGACTGCATTCAAAGGGAATAAACAGTGTTTTAGATACATATAAATGGGATAGTGTGACAGTG